ACTGGGATTATAGGAGTGCACCACCACGCCCAGTCTTCTAAAGTCTAACATCTTAATCTTTGCTTTCAGTTGTGATCACAGTGACTATTTTACATGGAATTTTCTTCCTACCAGTAACATGGACAATATCTTTCACTTTGCATGCTAACTTTTTACATTAGGAGTAATCATTATGGGAATGTTTTTATGAAATGACTTTTATCTACACTGCACTTTTTCAGTTGATGCCAATTGGCTTTGGGGGGCTTAAATTCATTGATTTGATTCTACCTTCTCTCCAAGTTTTTAGTCCAAAAGAAATACCCTATAACATGACAATATCTAGGACTTTTCTAAATACATTCTATATGCAAATTTTTTCATCCTTTAATTTTGATTTCAATCCCACCTTTTTCATAGATTCTTCTAATACTATGTTTTGAACCAATGATATCACTTATATTTGAAATCCTATCACACTTGTAGGAATACATAAACGCATACAAAACTGTAGGGTCTCTTTGGAAGTCTCCTGGGACAGTGAAATTTATATTCAAATTGTTCTTTAACTATTTTTGGCCAATTCTATCTGCCCTCAAAACATAACAAATAAATATCTTGTATAATTTTGTATATTTCACAATACCTAGAGTATTTTTTTGCTCATCTGGGCACTGAATAGATAAAGTACTGTCCTGATTTCCAGAGCTCTCAAATTTCATGAGGTATAAAGGTGAGAAAACAAGTAAGTAAAGAAAATGTGAGTGCAGCTAATGATTGCTAATAAGTAATCAACTACCGGTGGCTAAAAAGCACTTAACTGTTAAAATTAAAATAGTATCTAGATGAAAGTTGACAAACAGCTAGCAGTTATTTCAGGGTAAAAATAACCAGGTTAAAGGGAAATGAGTTCTCTTTAAGGAACATTAGATTTGAAGTTCGAAGTTCTCTGTATTTCCACTATCTCTGATAACTTGGTCTTCAAGTGTAGGCTTCTTTGATTTCAGGCCTAAAGGTGTTTTTTACTCTGTCTCAGAAAAATGTCAACTTCTCTTACTTCTCTTTCCTATATTTTTCCCCCCTCCTCAACACTTTGGTTATAATAAGAGATACAGAGCAATCATGTTTTTAAATTGCTTCAAAAAATAGGAGTGTAACAAATTCTACTTAGCTGCCAGCAAATAAGGCAGGACACACTCTGGAACAGAGAAACAGAAGAACAGCAGGAAGAAACATTTCAGGGACGGCAAGGTAGAAAGATAAAAACCTTGAGAGCAGCAGGCCTCTAAAGAGAGACGAGAAGTAACTGCCCTGTGAGTGCAGGTCTTTTTTTCCTCCTAAATTAATTTTCAAGTCCCTATGGGCACAAATCAGAGTAAAGTTAAGCTCTGTAAAGCACTTGACCATGACTGAGCTTTCTGTTACACAGCACAGGGGTTCTGTCCATCCAGAGTGGCACCCTGGCTTAATGCACTGCCCAAAAGAAGTGGGTGCATTTTTCTACCCCATTTAGCTGTTGGCCACCTCAGTACAAGAAAAAGTATTAAAATGACACAGTTAACATGAACTGCAATTTTTTAAGCTTATGATTTTTAGAAGTTGTACAATCAAAGAGAATGAAAGGAAAACTAGCCCTGACTCTAGGGAAAAGCTCTTTAAAAAGTCCAAATCTCCCTTCATGGAGTTTGAGTAAACATTATCCAAGAAATTTGAGGCAACAGCCAATGATTTTTCATTCAAATTTTTACTCAAATTTCTTTAACTCATTCTACCTGTGAATTTTTATTATTTGAAAACTTAAGACTATCCATGTTTGAAGTGTAGAATTATAAATCATTTAATACTTTAAAAAAATCTTTAGATGGAACAAGATTTTTATTAAGAATGAGAACTTAGTATATAAAAGCTATTATAGTTACTCATTCAGTTCCTTGATTGGACTAATTTTAAATCACATCATTCATTAGTTAGAGAAATTCTGTGGTCAGACTAAGGAGATAAAAAGAAACTAGTGGTTCAATAGATCACACAGTATTTGAGCTCAATGAAATTCAACTAAAATACAAAAATAAAACTTATTCTCTAAATTTATTTCTAAACTACAGAAGAGTAAATATTTCTCTTTAAATATCTACATGATATAGTGTTGAATGTAGATCTTAAAATTTTACATTATAGTTTTGGTTGTTTGTTAGTTTTGGCATCTGTAAAAACTGTGTATATAGATTCAGGGATTAATTAGAGGTCATATCTTTCTTAGAATCAAACATAAAACCTGCACAACAAGAAGTTTTTTCAATTTAATTTTATGAAATAAATATTAACTTTTCCCAGGTGGAAATGTAGCTCAGGGGCATAGCACCTGCCTGGCAAGTGCAAAGTCCTGAGTTCAATTTCCAGTACAAAAAATAAATAAATAAATAAATAAATTTGCTTCTCCTGAGTAACAGAGATAGAACCAAAAATAAAAGAAGGGATCTGAACAAGGGTATGTATGCAAGACAAAGCAACTTGCTAAAGTTTAGTTTGAAATATGATTGAACATTATGAATGTTATGGCTTCCCTACAGTAGATTCCTCTTTCTCATAATTAAAGTATTAAATGATTTCAAATGATAGCATCTGCATCACATAATTTCTAGATGATATTTGGAACATAAAATTTCACAAGATTATTTCTTTCTTTTATTTTTTTTTTCTTTCTTCTTCCACAAGACTGTATCAATACTTTGAGATATAAGAAAAGAAATAAAAGTTTGCTTTAGGGCCATCCAAATAGCTCAGCGGATTAAAGTGCCTGCTCAGGCAGATGCAGCAGCCAAGGTTCAATCCCAGGTCTGCTGTACTGGACCCACCCCAAGGCATGGTGAGAATGGGCATGATGGCTCACACCTATCATCCCAGCTCTTGGGAGGTTGAATAC